GGAAATGGCAGTCGTTTCCTGCCGTTCACACCGGTAACATTCAGGGCTGCTGCTTCGTTTCCGTCGTTCTTCTTCCTCTTCTCCAGTTCGCATCCATTCTCGTCACTCATTTCTACGCTTCCATCACTTCTTACCCTCTTATGGGATCCACTTCCACTAGCAACACTAGCCATGTTGATACCTTGGTAGGAGGTGACCCGCTCCCTGTCCGAGGTCAGACAAGGGTGGGTAACCACAGGATTCGGGGACCTCACGTCTGAGGACAGTACTATAAACACGTCCTACTTCTACGAGAGATACCACCACGACTGAGGAGAGAGGAGAGAGAAGAGAGAATTGACAGAGAGAGAGAGAAAAAGAGAGAGAGAGATGGGGCAGACAGATGAGGAGAGACGGAAAAGAGAGATGACGATGAGAGCGAGGAGATGAGCCGAAGAGAGAGGAGGAGAGAGAGAAGGAGAGGAGAGAGAGAGAAGACGAGGAGGAGATAGGAAAGAAGAGTGGAGATGAGAGAAGGTGGAGAGAGACGAGGAGAGGGAGAGAGAGGAGAGAAGAAGAGCAGAGAGAGGAGAGGAAAGGGAAGGGAGGAGGGAGGAAGAGAGGAGGAGAGAATAGAGACCGGATGAAGGAGGAGGAGAGGAGAGAAAGAGGGAGAGAGAGAGGAGAGAGTAGAGAGAGAGAGAGATGGAGGGGAGGTGAGCAGACGGAGGGGAGGGACGAGCAGGCGAGCGGGAGAGGGGACGAGGTGCGAGGACGGGAGAGGGAGCGAAGAGAGGAGAGAAGAGATGGGAGAGGAGGAGGGGCGGAGGAGAGGAGAGTAAGAGAAGAGAGGAGAAGAGGACTGGAGGGAGAGAGAGGAGATCGGGAGGAGGGGAAGAGGGAGGGAGGTCGGAAAGAGAGGAGAGAAGAGAGAGAGGAGGAGAGGGATGAGGAGAGGAGAGAGGAGAGCCCCAGCGGAGCGGGACGGAGAGCTGTCTGACATGTTGATAGAGAGGATCTGGCTACCGTGAGCGGGGAGACTCGGGGAGGAGGCGCACCTCGCTGTGCCGCCGCCACTTAGACCGGGTGTCAGGGAATGACGGCTCGAGAATATCTCTACCGTAATCGAGGAGGAGACGTTGGTCTTACCTACGTTAGGCACGCTCCAAACTGTGCAGGAGCCTCCATTTTGCCAACGGCGAAGAAGACCATTTCGGCCGCAGAAAGAAGAAAGGACAAGCCAGCCAATAAGCAGAGAGAATAGACATGCCATGAATGCAAACGCAAATAAGAGACCGAGAATGTCGCAGGAGCCGGGGAACGAGAAACACCAGAGAAGGAAAAAAGAAAGCATGTTAGTGGTAGTAGAGCAGGCAGGAGTTAACCTTGGCGAGACTGGCGAACGCAGGGGGACTCCGGAGTTCGAGCTCTAGACGGCGGGGAGGGTTAGGAGCGAGAGAAGCGATAGGTTTAGTCGCCATAGAAGTGGGGAAAGCAAGAGTGAAGTGTATGGGACGAGAGAGCGTCTGGAATTTCGTTTTTGTCCCGCCGTGGACCTGGTAACGGATCAGGGCTCTGTGGTAGGCTGAGGTCTCTTTGGGCGGTATGGCTCTCCTGCTCCTGCTGCTAAATCATCAACATTATTATTATTATCATTATTTTATTTCTATTATGATTATTATATAATCTTATTTATTATTATCATTCATCATATCATCATCATTATCATTTATCATTATCATTGAGTCTATTCATTTATCATTATCTTATCATTATCATTATCATATCATCATCATTATGATCATCATCATCCCATCATCATCATATCATCATCATTATTAATCATATAAATTATTAATTTAATTATTACTATTACTATATTATTGGATATTACAGAGCAATACTATCGCGAGTGATGTAAGTATAGTTAGTCGAATAATTATTTATTATTGATATTCGAAATTATGATAATTATTATGAATTATTGTTAATTATTATTATATAGGGTTATATTTATAGAATTATTATTATCTGATTAATCATATCCTCATCATTGATTATTACTATTATTTTTAGTATATTATTATTATATGTTATAGATTACTATGTATCGAGTGTGTATTACATGGATCATTGTAAGGATAGTTATCATTAGCTACAATTTTCTGCGTGGTTGCGATTTATGTTACCAAATATCATCGAATTTTGCCATCAGCTGATGAATTATATATACGCGACATTGTTATTAAGTTACGTGAATGACAGTGAGTATGAAGAATGAGGTAAAACTAATTCGATGATTGTATGACGATGAGAGGGATGGATGCGCTGTGAATCATGATGATGGAAGATTTGATGGAAGGATGATGATGGTGATGGATGGGTGGTTTGATGATGATAATAAGGCAGGTATGGAGCGGGGGAGATATAATTGATGGCTAATGTTGATGAGTAATCATTTATGATGATGGTGATAATTAATAATGATAATAATAATAATGATAATAAATGAGGATAGGTATAATGATTAATGGTTGATAGTAATGATATCATATTGGCATACAAGAACAAATATAAAACCAATTGTAATTGATAATTTAATGCGAGGTGAGTAAAAGCCCCAATAATAATTAAATGAACAATTGAAGATAACTAAGAATGATAATAATAAAAATAATATTAGTACTTACCTTACTATAATATAATTTAATAATTAGGGGTGATAGATGTTTAATATCGATAATAATTGATAATAACAACAATGATGATAACTAAATCATAATAGTAATTGAAGATGAGAGCAATGATCAATAATGTGTTTGTTGATCTTAACAGAGATAATATAATACCAATGAATTTGATAATATTGCTGATAAATAATTGATGGTAATAATCAATAATAATGATAATGATCAGTGTGTCTGTTGATTGTTTCCGTGTGCCATTATCTTGGCTATTTCATCATCATAAGCACTATAATGATTATTGTTCAGCATAGTTAGTTATTACAGAATTTACGATATTGAGTACCACTTGAATGACAGATGTATATATAATATGTTGTGCATGGATAAAGATCCATTATATTACAATATATTCCAGTGTGATATATATATTATATATATATATAATTATAGTATAATATTGCTCATGCAAGATATAATAGTATAGATATATATTTAAGTAATATGATACAATAGATATATAGATAATAATGATATTTAAGTAGATATTAAGATATTAGAATTAATGATATAATTATAGTTATTTATAGATTATATATGAATTTATAGATTTTAGAATATTAAGATAGTAATACTATATATATATTATGGCATGCACATATGAATCATATTTATTAGAATTATATAATATGACATTATAGATATAGTATAATATGAATTCAAGACATAGACATGAACTGAATCAAGATTAGCATAGATATAGATTATATATTAGATATGAATATATATATATTATATAATTATATTTATATATATATTATAAATATTATAATAATAATATTTTAAAGTATTATAAAGTCATGACGTATATATGTAATATTGAAATATATATTAATTACTATAATAAAATATAAAAATAAAAATAATAAATATGTAAAATTAAAATAAAATAATATAAATATATCAATATAATATATGTATATATATATATATATATTATTTATTAATATATATATTATATATATTATAATATATTAGTATATATATATATGTAATTGAATATAATTATGCTATGACGTATTTTAATTATATTGTGTATATATATATTTATAATATATATATATATATATATATATATTTATATAATTATATAATATTTAATATTAATATATATATTAATATATTATATTTATATATTTATGAGTAGCAAGATGCGCGCGAGGAATGAACTCCATTACTCTTAAAACGTGCCTCGGAGTGCTGGGACTTATCTTGCAGTTTATGAGATTTCAAATATTTTGTGTGAACTTTCTGGGTCGAAACTGACGTGGAAGAAGATGCAAATGATCGAGTGAGATCTGATAAAGAAGAGCAGGCAGAGATAGCAGACAAGACTTGACAGATAAATAAATAGATCATTTATTTAGTGAGCATGTAGTATAAACTAAGAATTAAGAGGCGAGGTGGACAGACAGCGCTAATGAATAATCTGCGCAGATAGTATCACGCGAGAGAATAGAATAGAATCATGAGTTAGAGAATAGATAGCAGAAGTATAATAACTACGCTCAAATGAAATAGTACATGTGTAAATTTGTACTCTTCGAATAAAAGAGGCTCATCTGATACTCTCCTAGCGCATTTGTGGTTTCGATGCAGGTCTAGCGTCTGATCGGCGCCGAATTGAGTTCCTCGTACCTCCATCACTGCTGTGAGCAGCATGTAACCATGCCGTTTCTGGTGTGCCGGTTTTAGTTCTAGGTCCTTTTCTCTGTGCAGAACCCCTATCATGACAGCCCAAGGGCAATAGTGATAGATCATATATAGGTGATAAGAATTTGGGAGGAAGGGGGATGAGGAAGAAAGGAGAGGAACTTTCCCCCCGGCCGGGTTGTGGGAAGACCAAGGCGGAGGGGGTAGAGAGTTAAATCAACAGTGGAGGATTTGTGAACTTCGAGCACTTCACGATGATTCATTGCAATAGGCGGTATTATTGTAATATATAGTACGTTCAGGATATGAATGTTGACCTGTGATTCTATATGTGTGACATAAGAATAGCATTACAGATTTATAGAGTCACAAAATTACTAGCGATATCGTAATTACCGCAAGACCGAATGACTTGTCCGTACTTGGGTGCAGTTGAAAAATACCAGAGTTGGGTCAAATTTTCGGAACCAGATTTGATAGTAAACACAATGATTACTGAGTATACAAAATATTAGGTGTACAAGCTGTGAAAGAAAAGGAACATGAGACCTTTTGTACACCATACATCAACGAAGAGAGGCGGAAATAACTTACGAACCTGAAGAAATCTGCGTGGCAGTGAAATACAGAGTTGGTCAAATTTTCAGTAACATCTGGTATAAAATATTACAACTGTGAAAAAGGATGGATTTTGTAATCTAACAAAGCATCTTCACCTAAATCTTGATGAAAATACTTGCTGGCAACTTCTGAGCTTCTGAGCTATTAAATATAGTATTTTTTTCTTATTTTCTTTTTCGATATTTTATTGATATTGGACAAACTGTTAGGGTCAAGAAAAGGGAAGGAGCAAATAAAGTAAGCATATTTGGCCAATGAGAGTGCACTGTGAGATGCTAGATATAGCTACAAACATGACTATTTGTAAGATTTACTCACTATTATTATAAAAGAAAATAAAACCAAAATTTCTCTCTTTTCTTTATGATAACGAAGAGTTCTTTACCATTAACAGCCGTCAGAATACTCTACGGAAAAAGCCGATTTTATTTTTGGGTTCAACAGGCTAAAATGAAGTGGAACTACCTAGTTATACTTTCCTTGGTCATGACCCTTACCTTGGGCGGCAGTGGCGAGCCCTCGAGCCCTGTGCTGGCGGCAGAAGAGCGTCAGCGCCGTGACCAGCAACGCAAAAACCGCCGCTGCGCAGCCACTCGCGATCCAGACAACATTCACAGTTCTTCCTGCGGCATTCGGCTCAGGGGCAATTGGGGACACCGGTGGAGATCCTGAGAAGAGAGGTGAGGGAGGAAGATCAGACAGACAGACAGACAAATAGATACAGGGCCGGTATAATGGTCTCTAATTCAGTTAAGTCCCACTATACTGAATGACAGCGTCAGAGAAACACAGTCTTCATTGATTGTTTATTGAAGAAGGCACAACGAAGTTAACTTGTGTTTCGGCGGTAGCTTGGACGAATATTTCGTCGGTCAGGTCATGGGTCTTCTCAGGGGAGGGCTGGGGTCGCGTAGTGCTGATAGTGAAGTGAGTGAGTGAGTGAGGCAGGAGGTCGACATTTATAGCCGACCCTGGCAGCCTCATGGTAGCCTCATGGCAGTACGCCCAGGCGCAGGTTTAGAAACACACCACGAGGGTCACACATGCGTTCCTTAAACCTCATGTACGAATATGGTATGCCCTATTGGTAGTGACTGATAATGAGTGCCATATCTACTGATAGTGACTCCCATATCACTCTGCCATCTACCCTCGCCTCGTCCTCAAGGCGTTAAAAATAGCTCCTCCCCGAGGTTGACCTGACGTTCATACTTCTTCGCCCGCTGCGGCACGGATCGGCTGATGACGAGGGTTCACGGCGTACATCCTCATTTCCCGCCTGATCAATCTCCATGGCGAGCGTCCTCTATGTCGTCCTTCTCCAGGGTGTGTCCGTCCACGGCGTATTCCGCGCGAAGTCCTCATGGGGGAAGACAGTCCTCGACCTGGTCCTTCTTGTCTCTGCTTCCAGGGAGCCGCTTACTGTCGACGACTCCGCTGACGGCAGCTAGACCATGCACACAAGGGCCAGGATAGTAGGAGAGAAAGATGCGACAGAGTGGGGGGGGGGGGGTATGAACGGACTACGAGCTGGCTAAACAATCTTATTTATGTATTCATATATTTTTTTTCTTTTCTTTACTTTCACTTGCCGGTCTTGAGGCGACCCGCAAGGGTCTCCTTGAACTTTGAAAACTCCGAGCAAAAATAGACGAGAGAATAGCAACTACATCTACAGGTGCTCGGTGCACTAGGCTTTCTGTTGCACAAGGATAGGCTCTTGATATGAGGAACCCGAGGCAGCACGTTCAGCGGCCTTACTGCGGATTTGTTCGTCCTTCCTATGCATCTGATATGCTTTGGCATAACACGCCCCAAAAGCATGCCAATCGAGGTGACATACAGGAAAGAAAAAGTGTATATGAAATTCCAACATTAACCCCACGTCCGCATCCTGAACATTACTAACGACCATTAGATGTAACTCCGGGATCGTGATGTTGATTGTCGGCAAGGTCAGGAGCGATGGCCTAATCGCTATAGGCTCTGCAGCGACGTCCGTAACGAAGGATTTGATTGCAGGAACTTTTAATGACCGGAAAATTAACTTACAGTTGTGAGGTAGTACAAAGGTTCCCTGCCATGACCTCTCTTGCTGAATTTCTTTGCAAGCAATAATGGCGGCTGTTGACTGATAGAAGTATATCAGGGTTACCTGAGAGAGGCTAAGCATAAAGGATGAGATCTGATCTTTCACCTCCTCGAAGGAACAGAGGAAGGTAACAATCCTATTTGAAATGTGAGCACGAGCACAAGATGGAGATTGAAGAGATGAAGGCAGGCTTCGAACAGGAATTTAAGAGCTCGGAGGTAGGGAAGGATAAAGCATGTCCCTCTATTTCCCTAAGGATAAAGGTGTGTGGGACACTAACCATGTAGTGCGAGTTGTTTGTTTTGTGTGGGAAGGGGTGAACGCGGTAAGCCCTAAAGATAGTAGAAGGACGCACCGGAATAATAACAGAGAGCCCAGAAACAGTGAGGAAAGATTTCAGGCTAGCATAAAACCGAGTGCGTTGTCCAAGAGGGAAGAGAGTCTTGACTGAAAAAGAAGATGCGACGCACGAAAGAGGGCCGTTGCCAAGTTATTTATTCGCCGTGTAATATTGTTAACTGTATGCTGGTAAGAGAAGACACCTAAAGTCAAAGAAGTAAGGTGAGGAACTTCATTTACAGTCCTTGCAAATTGACCGACCATTTAGCAGAAGCTAAATCTGGAACATTATGCGCAAGCGTGTTCACAACGTGAGCAGACGAGGTGAAACTGTGAGCTACGATAAGCTTTCCTTATACTTCTTGAGTTTGGATGCAAGACTGTCGTCATCCACAACTCCGAACAGTCCATGCGCGATATTGCCTTCAAAGTTGAATAATCCTCGGCGGGCCCTACCTGAAGATTTGAAAGGTCCCACAAAGGAATCCAAATATGCAATTGTCGAGGATAAGATACGATTGAACAGGCGAATGTCGTGTGCATCCAGAGAAGAGTCAAGAGTAAGGGTATCACACAGAGAAAGTAACTGGGACCTATGGTATAGCATGAGCAGCGAAGGGTTGCGGAGTGGCATTAGTGAAACCCGGGCCTCCAAATTTGAGGTTATGGGGTAAACCTTCCCCAGGTCCTCAATCATAGCCCCAGGTGCATCTTTCACATTATGCGGCAGGCGGTGAGAATCTCTTCCCACGAGGAGTACCAGAAAGAACATGTTCGACAGCATCCTGGAAGGAAAAGCCAGAAATCACTCACCACTCGCAAGAGAAGCATGAAAGAATATCATATCACGCAAACCTATGCTGTATCACAATAGCCAGTTACGAGAGTCTATTCAAGACAATACACCAAAGAAGTGATTATGTTCAGACTGAGAGTGAGCGATGCAAGTGAACATACATTTGTGATCCAGTAAAATGCATTAAAATAGCAAAACTTACATTGCATCATCAAAATTAACAATTAACAAAATTCTGCAGTAATTACATATAATATCTGACTAATACGAGTGTTACGCTGACGGATCCGTACAGTCTGGATTTAAAGCTGGTTGTGCTGGCGCTGTATACAACAATGGTTTATTGCAACATCAAGTTCATATGAGAGTACAAAATTGGGCCAGCACTACTCAAACGGAATTGGCAAGTATAATCCTTGCAACAGAATTCTTAATGTCTCAGGGCTCTGGAGTAGTTTTTGTGATTCTCAAAGCGCTCTTCAGACACTTAGTTCCTTCAAAACAGATGATGAAGAAATTGTGAACTGCATTAAGCGTAACGTAACTTATGCAAAAGAGCGCAATTTTAACATTCAATTTGTATGGATACCATCTCATGTTGGTATACGCAAGTACGACCATGTAGACAAATTGGCGAAAAAGGCTTGTAGCAAAGATATTGTAAATATAGATGTTGGTATGCCTCTTGCTAGGGTTACACATATATTAAAAAGTTCTCATAATGAAGAACTGATAGATCTGACGAGTTCACAAAGGCCTGAAAGCTGTAGTATAAGGCACTATGATCAGTAAAGAGATTGTAAACCCTCCTATGGTTGGCACCGAAGTAAAACCAGACAATGTGACGTGGTTATTGCCAGAATACGTTTAGGTTATAGAATGTACTGGCAACTCCAAGGTGCAAGAAGTGCAGATGAATCTAGATGTAGACTGTGTAACGAGGAAAATAAGCGAACGCTTGAGCATTATATCTCGGAGTGTCATGTGATACAGCCTTTCAGACCACATAACATGAGGTATAAAGAACTATGTGATTATTTTATAGCATCTGATACATTGCAAGATATACTCATGCTATATCCTAATTTTACTATGTAAAACTCATAATCATAGAACGCACCACAGAACACTGTTATGTAAACACAATGGCAAAGGTAGATCAACTTAGGTAATATACGTTTGCATGTTGTATGGCGTATTTATCCTGGTACTCAATGATCCTATCACGCGACCTAGGAACGCCTTTGCCTGCTGAAATGCTTGCTGTTGCCGAGAAACCAAATAATTAGCATAGTTGTCCGCATAGAGGGGACGCGGTTTCATCTCCAAGAGTTCGTATGGCAACCGCTAGTCTTGCCCTGTGAGAAGAAAGTGCTGGTTATCGCCCAGAGAAGAGTGAAAGATAGAATTGATGGCCGACTGGAGCATCACAGTCGTCCTTGCTGTCGTCCACCAATTGACGCACAATTGATAGGATAGATCTACGAAGACGTTCCGTTACGTCATTAGCCTACAGTCGGAACGGCAAAAGATTTACCTGCGTCACATTCAGCTGCTGTGCGAAACCTGATTGACAAACTCGGTACCATTATCCGAGCTTAAATATTGTGGACAGCCGTGGCGGCAACAAATGACGTCATTAAATGCTTTAGTGATGTGCACAGCAGCCTTTGATGGTTCCGCCACCATCTCGCAGTAGCGAGAAAAATTGTCCACAAACACAAGGATGTGTTTGTTGCCAGAGCATGATGTGGTGAAACCTGACAATCACATGACACTTTCTGCCACGGAAAATCCGGAATGTCAAACTTTAGTGCAGGCACAGGATCACTTGTGTAGCCTTTGTACAAGGCACATGTCTTGCAAGACCTGGCGTGTTTTACTACCCTTTCCATTAAGGAAAATAAAATCGGTTACGTATCAAATGTTATAGCCTTATGAATACCACAATGCGCTGCTTCACGGGATTCATGTGCATACGTCAACACACGCGACACTATACTTTCCGGTACCACCAGGACTTGCCGGATGATCTTCCTACGACCCCTAATTTGCTTTGGTTGAGATCTCTGCATTAAGAGTTCTGTATCATCAAGAAAAAAATCCTTAACCGGTAACCCTTTCAACTTGGGAACTATCGTACCTTCACTTAAAGCTTGTATGATCTGGCCGTACCTCCACCACCCTACTATCCCTCCCCTCACTAATACCTTATCTCCCCCCATCTTATCCCCCTCTCGCCCACTACCATCCTGTCCCTCTCTCTCCCCCACCTTATCCCCCTCTCCCCCTCTCGTCGGCGTGTTGGGCAGCATATACCTCGTCCTTATGCAGTGATTCTAAGGGAGGAACCTGTGAAGCACTATTCACGACAGCTGACGAAGGCATGCTAAATGAAGGGGGAAAATCTGCAGCTTCGTCCTGCCTTAAAGGTTGTGATGTTTCGATTGGCGCGCGTGACAGCGTGTCAGCGGCGACGTTTGCGCGGCCCTGAATAGACACGAATGTCACATCGAAATCGGTCAGGATATCCTGATAACGTGCCCTACGACCATATGGATCATTACTATTTAGCAATGTGAGCGGCATGTGGTCCTAGTATTATATCTAGAAAATACTTAAGAGCCCATACAATCGCTAACATTTCGCTATCGGTGACTGAGTAATTTTTCTCTGCACTAATGAGAACCCTCCTAGCAAACCCGACAGGACGCAAGTTCCCTTCGTGCTCCTGCATTAAAACAGCACCTAGCCCAACATTCGACGTGTCATTATGGAGAATGAAGGGGAGGTCAAACTTCGGAAATGCAAGAACGGGAGCATGCGATAAACTTCTTCAACTTTCTAAATACATTGATTGACCTGCTCCTCGTCTCAGCGCCAGGGGACATCTTTCTTGAGGAGGTACGTCAATGGTGCAGCGATCCTCCCATAATCCTTGATGAAAGGCCTATAAAAACCAGCTAACCCCAGGAATGACTTTACCTGCGTTACCTCAGAGGAAATGGGAAACATACTGACGGCTTTGACCTTGGCCTCGTAAGGGGAAATACCTGCAGCACTAATTGACTGACCAAGGAAATCCAAGCGCGACTGCAAGAACTTGCATTTCGCCGAGTTAATTGTCAAACCCTCTTTCGAGAGTCGCTGAAAAACACTACGCAAGCGTGCTTCGTGGTCCTTAATCGAAGGTGAACAAACCAAAATGTCGTCTAAGTAGACTAGCACCTGGTCAATAATTAAACCCTGAAGGACGTGCTATAAGACGACTAAACATCAAAGGAGAGTTCCTGAGACCCATGGGTGACACAAGGAACTCAAACTGACCCGCAGTGTACGGTCGGCAGTCCTCTGCCAGGGGGACCTAAAGGAAACCTTTTGCCAGATCAATTTAAGAGAAAATCTTACAATCTCCACCAATGTCTTGCAAGAGTTGGCGAAGGTTAGGAATAAGAAAAGGTGACGGAACAGTCACCTTGTTCAGACGCCGAAAATCACACACAGGACGAAAACCATGATGACGCTTCGGCACCAGCAGCATCGGCGCTGACCATGGGCTAGTCGAAGGCTGGATTATCCTTTGCTGCAGCATACCAAGTACTTCATCCTCTAGAATCTGACGCCTACTATGCGGGATTTTGTATACCAGAATATACACAGGTTTATCTCCAGGCTCTAGAGTGATAGTGTTCAACCATATGAGTTCTGCCTAATGAACGGTCCTTGGTCGGTAAAATGTCGGGGAATTGATTTAACAATTTACTGAGGATCTTTTTACCCTCGCTAAACGCGAATGGTCCCTGCATAGCCTTTGCTAATGCTGCAGCGAACGGGTCAGCTGAATCAGTGGAAACAGCCAGAAAAAACTGACGCGGGAAGTTCAAATCGGGAGATCCGTAATTTCACAATCAATTAACCAAACACCACTGTCTATAGACAAAGGGGCAGGTGTTAAAAGTTCATCACAAGGACTTGTGTACTCCCATTCCGCAAGGTATATATAGAGAGAAGAACACATGTCCCTTTTACACGACAATTTTCGGGGAGGACCAAGAATGTACCATTATTATTTACCGAGGAAGTCACATCAATCAGAACATTATGAAAAGGTGGTATTACTACTACTCTCGCGCGACTGTGTGCCAAACCATCGTTATCAACCCACGTGTTATGTTTTGATGAACGAGATGTGGTGGCGATGTTGTGCGTGAAATTTCAGGATAGACAGAATGAGGTCTAGACTGAAGAGTAGAGGTCACAGTATGTGAGGTAGGTGGAGGAGAGACAGGGGGAAGATATAGTCGCTGAGGAAAGACTGGAGAGGGAGGAGGCAGGGTTAGAGGAGGAGAAGGAAGGGAGGAGAGTGGTGTGTCCGTGACGTGGTCATGTTTGATGGATGATAGAATCGGCGAGACATGTTGACATTTGTGATAGGTGCATGCTAGGGTGAAAAGGGTC